GGTCTGATCCTGCATGAAGGTCTGAGGCTGCATGAAGGTCTGAGGCTGTGTGGAGGTCTGAGGCTGTTTGGAGGTCTGAGGCTGCATGAAGGTCTGTGAGGTCTGCACGAAGGTCTGAGGCTGCATGAAGGTCTGATCCTGCATGGAGGTCTGATCCTGCATGGAGGTCTGATCCTGCATGAAGGTCTGAGGCTGCTTGAAGGTTTGAGGCTGCGTGAAGGCCTGAGGCTGTGTGGAGGTCTGAGGCTGCATGAAGGTCTGAGGCTGTGTGGAGGTCTGAGGCTGCTTGAAGGTCTGAGACTGCTTGAAGGTCTGAGGCTGCTTGAAGGTCTGAGGCTGTGTGGAGGTCTGAGGCTGCTTGAAGGTCTGAGGCTGCTTGAAGGTCTGAGGCTGCATGGAGGTCTGAGGCTGCATGAAGGTCTGAGGCTGCATGAAGGTCTGAGGCTGTTTGAAGGTCTGAGGCTGCATGGAGGCTTGAGGCTGCTTGAAGGTCTGAGGCTGCTTGAAGGTCTGAGGCTGTGTGGAGGTCTGAGGCTGCTTGAAGGTCTGAGGCTGTGTGGAGGTCTGAGGCTGTTTGGAGGTCAGAGACTGCTTGAAGGTCTGAGGCTGCTTGAAGGTCTGAGGCTGTGTGGAGGTCTGAGGCTGCTTGAAGGTCTGAGGCTGCATGAAGGTCTGAGGCTGCATGAAGGTCTGAGGCTGCGTGGAGGTCTGAGGCTGTGTGGAGGTCTGAGGCTGCATGAAGGTCTGAGGCTGCATGAAGGTCTGAGGCTGCTTGAAGGTTTGAGGCTGTTTGGAGGTCTGAGGTTGTGTGGAGGTCTGAGGCTGCTTGAAGGTCTGAGGCTGTGTGGAGGTCTGAGGCTGTTTGGAGGTCTGAGACTGCTTGAAGGTCTGAGGCTGCATGAAGGTCTGAGGCTGTGTGGAGGTCTGAGGCTGCTTGAAGGTCTGAGGCTGCTTGAAGGTCTGAGGCTGTGTGGAGGTCTGAGGCTGCTTGAAGGTCTGAGGCTGTGTGGAGGTCTGAGGCTGTTTGGAGGTCTGAGACTGCTTGAAGGTCTGAGGCTGCTTGAAAGTCTGAGGCTGTGTGGAGGTCTGAGGCTGCATGAAGGTCTGAGGCTGCTTGAAGGTCTGAGGCTGCATGAATGTCTGAGGCTGCATGGAGGTCTGAGGCTGCTTGAAGGTCTGAGGCTGCTTGAAGGTCTGAGACTGCTTGAAGGTCTGAGGCTGATTGAAGGTCTGAGGCTGTGTGGAGGTCTGAGGCTGCTTGAAGGTCTGAGGCTGTGTGGAGGTCTGAGGCTGCTTGAAGGTCTGAGGCTGTGTGGAGGTCTGAGGCTGTTTGGAGGTCTGAGACTGCTTGAAGGTCTGAGGCTGCTTGAAGGTCTGAGGCTGTGTGGAGGTCTGAGGCTGCTTGAAGGTCTGAGGCTGCATGAATGTCTGAGGCTGCATGGAGGTCTGAGGCTGCTTGAAGGTCTGAGGCTGTGTGGAGGTCTGAGGCTGCTTGAAGGTCTGAGGCTGCATGAAGGTCTAAGGCTGCTTGAAGGTCTGAGGTTGCATGGAGGTCTGAGGCTGCATGAAGGTCTGAGGCTGCATGAAGGTTTGAGGCTGCTGGAAGGTCTGAGGCTGTGTGGAGGTCTGAGGCTGCTTGAAGGTCTGAGGCTGCATGAAGGTTTGAGGCTGCATGAAGGTCTGAGGCTGTGTGGAGGTCTGAGGCTGCATGAAGGTTTGAGACTGCTTGAAGGTCTGAGGCTGCTTGAAGGTCTGAAGCTGTGTGGAGGTCGGAGGCTGCTTGAAGGTCTGAGGCTGCATGGAGGTTTGAGGCTGCATGAAGGTCTGAGGCTGCTTGAAGGTCTGAGGCTGTGTGGAGGTCTGAGGCTGCTTGAAGGTCTGAGGCTGTGTGGAGGTCTGAGGCTGTTTGGAGGTCTGAGACTGTGTGGAGGTCTGAGGCTGCTTGAAGGTCTGAGGCTGTGTGGAGGTCTGAGGCTGCTTGAAGGTCTGAGGCTGCATGAAGGTCTGAGGCTCTGATGAACAGCATAGATAGCTGGCATGATGATGCTAACAATGAATAACCTTCTATTATTTCTGGTTGTAAAACCACAATTGGAGTCTTTATGCAGGATATATCTTCTGCATCTGGTGATGCAATAATCTTCTTAGAATCCTGCCTGCTGGTGTCAAAGTCAAAGTAACAGTTGCAGACAGCTTCACAGAAGCAGATCTTTTCTTCTCCATTGTTCTTCAACTTTGCTTGTTTCTGAAGATTCTTCTGTTCTTTGGTTGATGATTTCCTCTTGTTATGTATGATGTGACTGCCGCAGTAGCCTTTTAGGAGTCATCATGACTCCCTGGCGAGTCATGGACATGTTCTGGGGATTCAACTTCAGTTTGGAACTTTCATCAAGACATCAACTGTGATAGTTTAATAGCGACAAAAAACAAGGCAGCACTGAGCAGTTACCTGGCCAACATTTAGTTTTAGAAACTTAGATTATCTGAAAAAAGGGCCCAGTAGCATTGCATCAAGAATGACACAAGCGTCTAAATTCACTGTGTATTTCAGATAATTTGTGCATCATATACACAGGTTTTCTGCGTCACGGCAAACACTGCTCCCACCCCCGCAAATTTAAAAGAACAAATCATCTGACAGTTACTTAAAAGTCCAACTAAATGAGAGAATTTCTGTCTAATCTGTCTGCCTGTATACAAGAGTGGTTATTGAGCTATCAAAACAGTAACATGGAATTGGGATACCTAACTTTGTACTACTGTGTCAGGTACACACCAATATCAAAATCAAAGGAAAAAATATAAATTTTAAAAATCCCTTACAGCAAAATGCAGCAATTGACAATATTTGGTTTGTTTGCGCACAGTCTTGTGAAAGAATACCATAGAGATATGGTCCTGACAAACACAACACTATGAATCAAAATCAAACTTACAGCCATGGAAACAGTGAGTGATTGAGTGAGTTTAGTTTTACGTTGCTGAAGTAATATTCCAGAAATATCACGGCGGGGGACACCAGAAATGGGTTTCACACATTGTACCCATGTGGGGATCTTTGGCGTGACGAGCGCACACTTTAACCACTAGGCTACCCCACCGCCCCACCATGGAAACAGATAAAACATAACCCGGTCTTTGCGTGTGCATAGTTTCATGAAAGAATACCTATTAGTTTTAGAGATATGGTCCGGACAAACACACCACTAAAAACAAAGTCAAAGTCAAACTTGTTGCCATGGAAACAGAAACAAATTCATTTTCCTAAATAGCATAAGTCACCACTTCAGCCCTTGGTTAATACTGTACCCAGTTTGGATGAAAGGTGTCTCATGGTTCTTGAGTGGTGCTCTGGAAACGAAATCCACCCTCCTCCCTCCAAATCGTTTCCCATGGAAATCGAGAAAAAATAAATGCCCCAAATCCGCAAATAGCAAAAGGCACCACCGCAGGATCTATTTCATATGGTTTCTGAGTTATGCCCCAGAAACGAAATCCACCCTTTTTTGTGACTAAGTTCAAATTGTTTCAATGAAAATTGACAAAAATATGAATGCCCAAAATCTAGGAACGACACCTACTTCCATTTTAAGTCTAACTTGTTGCCATGTAACAGGGAAAAATCAAATTTTGAAAAATTCCTAAATAGCAAAAGGCACCACTTCAGCCCTTGGTTAATACATGTACCAGGTTTGGAAGAAAAATCTTTCATGGTTTTCAAGTTGTGCTCCGGAAACGAAATCCACCCCCTCCTTTTGAAACCAAGTGCACATTGTTTCCTTGGAAATCAAGAAAAAGAAAAATGCTAAAAATCTGAAAGTATCAGAGGCAATACTTCAGGGTCTGTTTGATATATCTGCCAAGTTCTGTTGATAGATATTGAGCGGTTTTTTTAGTTATCCTCCGGAAACGAAATCCACCCCTTTTTGAGACTAAGTCCAAATTGTTTCCATGAAAATCGAGAAAAATATAAATGCCATAAATCTGTAAATAGTAAAATGCATCACTTTAGGTTCTGTTCGATATATGTACCAATTCTTCTTGAAAAATATTGAATGGTTTCTCAGTTATGCTTTGGAAATTAAATGATTACGGATGGATAGGCAGACGGACATACAGACAGACGGGAAGATGAACGAGGCATTGACTATATCCCCTGCATTTTGTGCCAGGGGCATAAATATAATCTATAGATGCATAAATGGACGAAAAAGATAATCCAAGCTGACATTTATTTTTAAATGTTAAATCTTGATAAGATGGCTTGGATTAAAAACATAGACAATTTCACCAACCATCACGTTCGGCAGAAATAGATGACGGGTGACGTGGAGAGACGGTGCTCATGCGCAGTGGAGGGGGGTTTGGGTGAGATGTTTTTACTGTTGTTGGTGAACATATGAGTGAGTGAGTGAGTTTAGTTTTACGCCCAACTCAGCAATATTCCAGCTATATGGCGGCGGTCTGTAAAATAATCGAGTCTGGACCAGAAAATCCAGTGATCAACAGCATGAGCATCGATCTGCACAATTGGGAACCGATGACAGGTGTCAACTAAGCCAGCGAGCCTGACCACCCGATCCCGTTAGTTGTCTCTTACGACAAGCATGGGTTACTGAAGGCTCATTCTAACCCGAAACCTTCACGGGTGAACATATCACAGAGTGTTTCCACCATGTCTCGGGCTAAGGAGAGCGAAGCCATTAATATGAGCAAGGATAAGAAAACTATGGAGTCTTAACGTAGTAATCCAGTGACCGATATTGTGAACAACAATCCACTCTATTTGGGAATGAGTCGAGTAACTTAGTCAGATGACCCTATCTTTTCTACCTCTTATAAGGGGACCTATTCTAACACTGAACCCCCATATTTTAAATCATAATCCCAGATGACTTTGATGTCGGAGAGAAAATTTGTGCCTCAAGATGTGCAACCTCTCAAGCCATTTCTCTCATCTGTATGATGAGTCAAAGAAGACTCCAACTAACTGTTCTTACCTTGTGGAAACCAACGAGATCTGCCAGTGATGAATGCTGGATCTGGCTTGCCCCAAGAAACTGGTAGCCTCCATCGGTAGTGTCCACCAGGAAGTGTTTCACACGGTCCTCCCCACGATATGAAATGGTGTAACCCCAAACCCGCTCGCTAACACGCACAAGGAAGCTGCCTACTGGCCTGTCACTCAACTGTCTCTCAGAGTCTGACCTAGTTATTATCCCTACAATAGATAGTAAGTGGGTTAAACAAGGTTATATAGTAGTTCATTGTCAAAGGGTGTAAATATAAGAAAGAGAAATTTTTTTTGAATGAACATCATCATTATCAAATGACTTGAACATTATATAGTGCTAAAATAAGTGGTTGAAATAAACACGATACTTTAACTCTCAAAAGTGCAAAACTAGATATGTTAACTTAGCACAGTACACTGTCATCGGCATCTGTAGGTGCCAATATCTACAGATATTTTAGTATTGCTAAAACTGCTGCTTTTGTATGGACATGACTTCTTGTTTCATATGATCTGATTTGATCTTGTAGAAATTGACAGGATTTCTTGGGCTATTCTGTTCACTTACTGGTAGGTGTCAGAAGCTCATTATCATTTAGAAAAAAGTCAGTTTGAGGTTAGCTATTACATCTCTTGCCTTTAGGAGAGCTATGATAGATAATTGATCAAACTGCAATTCTGGCTTTAACAGAGACCAGGCTAGCTATTCTCGAAATGTTTTAACCCTACAAACTTCTTAAACCCATTCTTAACACATTGGCTACGATCAAAGTTAAGAATTCTTAGGGCTACGAACATTTCGAGAATAAGGGCCCAGGCTTGGGCAAGTGAACACTGGATTCAGTCTGACTGCAAGATATACACACTGGGTGTCCTCTACATTGTTACAACTTTTCACAGGCATAGCTTCATGACTACATGAATCAGAACAAGTCAACATATTTTAAATGCAGACAGTTCCTGTTGGTAACCGAGCTGCAGCAAAATTGTATTTTTTATGATAAAATTGATATTTCATGCTCATCCTGACTCATACGTTATTGCTTTATCTCCCTTTCTTCCGAGGAACAGTGGAAACCTCTGTACTATTGTTCACTAATGAACAGTCTAAAAATAGCTCACCCCAAATGGGCATCTCCAACCTCCCACGCCAGTGTCCCACGTGACCACAGACTGCATGTCACTCTCTCCATTATAATGCCAAAGTTATCTTGACCGAAGCCAAATAGTGGAGAGTGGGGACGGCTGGGAGGGCCCTTAAGACTATGAGTAGGGAAAAGTATAAAATATCAATTTTATCATAAAAATTACATATTTTTCCTTATCCTGGCTCATATGTTATTGCTTGAATCCAACAGATAGGTGGTGGGTCAGCCATTAATTTGGATTCTGATAACTGTTTGATCCACCCCCTGGGAACTCTTCAATCTTCTGACACTGTGGCTATAAGATGGGGGACCACCTTCTTTTAATTAAAAAAGAAGTAAATCATGAGATTTTGAGAATTTTAAGACTCGAAGAAAATTAGATTCTCACTTGCCTTGGTTTGATCCATATGTTAAGAATAGGTTGTAAACTTAACTGAATCATATCACTCATGCACGGCTTTATCTTGTAAAGCAGGGGAACATGGACTCTCAGTCGGTGGTTATGGAGCAATAACCTGGTGTCTATGAGTCTATGTGATTATGAGTGGGTAATTAATGCCCTGCTGGAACTGTCAACTGCTGTGCCACAACTAGAGGGCCGAACTGAAGGATACAAGAAACATTTTCCATGGCAACGTCCCTGAGATAGTGGTTGGCGAAGATAGAGTCCGATCTCCAGAAGCATCCTTCTATAATGGACAAAATGGAGCAGTTGACATGTAGAGCTCATGTGGACGCAATGGCTCTAACTTCATGATGATTGGAGGCTCTGGGTGGATCCAGTACTGTTGCCTTGTAAGCCCTCAGGATTTCTGCTTTAGCCAGAAGGAGATACTGTAAATCAAAATGTTTGCGAGCATGATATTTTCACGAAAATTGTGAATGACTTGAGCTTGCTGGTCAAACGCAATAAACAATCAACAAATAACGTGTCTCATTATCTCTTTATTATTCACCAGTTCATATAATCAACAACAGATTAGACAATACATCAATTAAGCAATGACAACTTGGGGGGAAGACTAATTACTAGTACTCACATGTCACATGTCAAACAAGGGATACTCGAACAAAAGTTACTCAATCAGTACGTCTGATAGTCCAGACAGGCGCTAACAATGCAACCACTCTTTAGAGACCGTTTGATAGGCTGACACCATCAAACGGGCGTCTGTAGCTTTCATCACTGTTAACCGGAGATCAACAGCTTTGGTGATGTCATTGTCAACAATTTAATAGAAGCATTCCAATTAATATAATCCCTTTGAACTGTTTTAAGCTTATCTGGCATGTGCAGCGTGTGCTGTTCTAAGGAAAACATCACTGACTGCACACACACAGAAGTTCTCTACTGAGCTCAGTTCAAGATTAGTGGCAACCTTTAAATATGTGATTGGATTTACTTTAGGTAGAACTTTCGGATGCAAATTTTTTAGAATTGGGCAAGTCGCAAAAATATCCTGACGCAAAAACGTCTGTTGGTCACCACTCGCAAAAATATTGTGACGCAAACATTTCGTGATTTACAGTAGTCGTTCTGGAGACTTCGGTAGATGTAGCGGGTGATAATGGGATGAAGAGTCTCCTAATTCTTCTTCTCCTCACAGCAGTTTTGTGCAGATAGATCTTACTGGGCATAAGGACAAGTCCTCAGTGTTGTCCGATCCAAGGATGGATGATAACGCAGCGATGTGGAACTGTCTATCTGGGCCCGGTTGTTCAATACTTGGTTATCTTAACAGCCAGTTAACTCCTAATGGCTGATTAAATCCTTAACCAGTCGTTAGCTAACCAAACGTTAAATATGTGTTGTTCAAAACATGGTTAGTCATGCCGTTAGCTAACCGTCACCGTCAAAGTTTAACAGTATGGTTAACGTCACTGGTTAGCTTCCATATATCCATATTGACATGATGCGTGACTGGGTAAGTTTTGAAGGTGTAATTTTCAATAAATCATCAAACAATAAAAGATGAATTTTACTTTGACAAAAATACAGTTTTTGTCAATTTATATAGCATTTTTAAAAGATGATTTGATTCAATAGAAAATCAAAGAATCATAAAGAAATTAAGGTCTATTGCTGAAATGATTAGTAAAAATATAATTAAAATCCATCCATGGGAAGGGATGCCAGACGAACATATCAAAACAAAATCGGATAATTACTCGGAGTATTGAATATCAGAAATAGCTTATTAATTATCACTGATATCCGTTTTTCATGAAATCACTAGTGATAATTCTGAAACGTTGCCAATGAATCTGGAATAGTGTTTAGATGTTTTCATAAAATACACTAACACGAACGCCCTAGTGCGCTTTGCTCCATATTGTATAGGTTACAAAATCATGTTTTGCAAAGGCTGGTATTGATACGCCAATTACATCACTTATATTTCATATTCAGCGGCGACAGATGCATCACTGAATTCCTTATACATATTAGAATCTAATTACAACTGGTCTTTGTCACCAATACCAAGTGTCTAGATAAACTGAAACAAAAGATACTGGGGTGGAAACGAACGCTGTGCTTGAAAGACAAAACCTGTTCGAAAGGTAAACAAAGAAAAATTCAGACTTTACACTGTGTAGCATTTTCTCAAATTTTCAAACACCTATTTGCATGGAAAGAGCATCGTGGCAAGAAATAGCAAATTGAAAATAGATACAATACAGGAATGTGATGTGTTTATACAAAACTGTCAAGTTTCTGTGCAGCGTGATGCCAGCGTGACGCCATGGTCAGCTGAATAAGAGTAATGATCAGCATTTCTGGCTTCTTCTTTTTCTTACAATGAAAACGATAAAAACATATAACAATACACAGATAGTCAGAATCATTCTGATTACTTACATCACATATTTATGTACAAACGATCCCTGATTCAAGGGAAGGGTCATCGCAAAATCCTGCGTACCAATGTCAGCCGCCATTTTTTAAGAAATTGGTCATCGGTAGTGATGTCATACGTCAACATTGTTGTACATATTTGGCAATTTCTCTGAGGTGAAGGTCAGTTGAATAAGAGTAAACACAATCACCATATCAAGCAGATTACACCTTCAGTATTATTATGTAATCCTTCGGATATTTTTCATGAAACTAATTTAATTATCTACATTTAGCCTTGTTCAATATCATATCGTACGTGGGTATAGGGTGTACATGTTTTATTCTTTGAAAGTGTTTGTTTGAATGATATTTACAGAAGAAATTGACATATTTAGTGTAGTAAATCTTTACACAAGTGTACTTCTACAACATGTATTTTAGTTCTTATGATGTGTAATATTTAATATTGGGACCAATATTACAGTTTTATATGTACCTCTTCGCCAGAATAATTCCCAATATCAAAGTCTAGTCCATGATACACCCTAACTAGCATCATGAAAGTAGCGTTAGCCAAGAATGCCATTTGCGAGTTAACCACACTGTTAAAAAGTTAGTGGTGGTCCTTAGGTGTGTAAACTTAACGTCACGTTAACAACCTCTTGAAAGTTTTGAACAACAAGATAACCCTATGTTATTAGTTAACAGTCAATTAAATGTACTAAACGGCTGGTTAAAAGATAACTGAGTTTTGAACAACTGGGCCCTGGTTGTCCTGTTTGCTGGTTCTTCATGATGAAGTCCCATCTAAGCCCGAGATGAAATGCTGGATGGTCACCTGTATCGAACCTAGTTCGACTGTAGTCCAAGGCATGGATTTCTGACATCCTAGCATCTGTAGCAATTGCAAGGAGGAACAGCTTCTTCTGAGTGAGCAGCTCAAAGTCTTCTTGAAGTAATGTTTTATATTCATTGCTGGTCTTCTAGATTAAAAGATCTCAGCAGTGTGACGAGTTCTGGAACCTTGGTTAGGGCCGAGCTGATGGCTGTTAGGTACGTAGACAAGGTAGACCCCTTTAAATGTCAGGTAGCTCTCATATGATACAATCATTCCACCACTTGAGGATGCGTAGCCTTGGTTGCTGCAAACCCTTTCTGAGGTGCAAACTGGTCAAAGCTCTTTAACTTGTGATCATAGAGATTTCTAAGGTCCAAGAGCT